ACAATGCTCTGGATAACGTAGACCCGGCTACCGAAAAAAAAAAAAAAAATTTGCATTAAATATTATCACAAATAACAATGATATTATATTCCACTCAATATTATGTTGTGGTGTTTCGTAAATATAGTTCATGTTTACTTGGATTTTTTTATCTATATCTTTTAGGATTTTTAGACTTTCATAAACTTAAATTATAAATATAATTTAGAATTTAATAATTTTTTTTTTATTTTAATACATGATGTAACAAATTAATTGTCTTGGACGATATTTAATATGACGTCCATACTACGTATATTGAAAATATTATACACGTCTTTATAAATAAAAAAAAAAAAATTATCTAATTAATCTTGATTGGAAGATAACGAAAATATAATTTATTAATCAAATAATTTTACTTACTAATCCTATTTTATGATATGTTGTTAGAAATTTGTTATAATATATAGGAACAATGAGTCTTACAGGCGATTAGTATGATTTTAAATTAAAATAAAAATGGGATTTTTAATAAGCATTTGAAAAACTAAAATAGAAGCATCTATTTTCATTTTAATTTTTTCGTATTTTTTAGTATAAAATTTTCAATTCAGGACCATGTAATACTTCTACAGTTAATCACTAAAGAAGAGTTGGTTCCACACTAGTTATTAATTAATGAAAAAATTGTAATATAAATTATCGTAATGCAATGAGAAAGATTGATTGTGGCTTGACCAAGTATATATGAGCTAAAAAGTAAGAACTAGTTCCCTTATATATTAATTCAAAACACTAATCCCCTTATATTTTAATTTAAAATTTGGTGAGCTTAAGTACCAGACTCGCACGTTTTGAAATAATATGTGTCAAATTATTACGCTTCGTACACTACAAAAAAATCGTTATATTTCAATGGAAAATCTTATGGTAATATATTTCAATGAAAATTCTAACGGATATTCCAATGGTATAGCTTCATTTAAAATGATTTCAACACAAATTCCAACGAAACTATTCCGTTAGAATATATATTTCATTGAAATTTTAGATAGAATTTGATGATTCCAACCAATATATTTTCAACGGCTTTTCACCGTAAGAATTTCTGTTGAAATTTTTATTTCCACCACCGTTGAAAAACCTACAGTTGGAATCGTCAAAATCCAACGAAAATTCCAATGGAAAAAAAGAATCAAACGGAATTTTTTGTTGGAGTTTCCGTTGGAGCAATTCCAACAGAAATAATAGCATTGAAATATCCATTGGAATTGACGTTGGAATTATATTGGAATATATTTCCGTTGAAATTTCATCATTTTCTTGTAGTGGTATTTATGTTCGGATAAGAAATTTGAAAACATAATCAACTTGAAATCAACCATAAATAATTATTTCATCTTACATTATTTCATTCTATAAATATCTCTTTCATTGCCATAAATGTATTGCCCCATAAATTTGTGTATTAACTCTATCATATATCATATTATTATGAGAGCATGTCCTAAGATAATTTTGTAAATTTGTATTATGTAGTTTTAAGTGAGTTTTTAACTAATTCATACATGTATTACTTTTCCATATTTTATATTATTCAAAATACATTTTATATCATTCAAAATACATTTTATATCGTTCTTTAATAGCATACATTTAATTCATAACATAAAGTATATATCTATATTGAATAAAGTAGTTTTAAATGAGTTTTTAAATTAACTATTAATAATAATTCAAAAAAAGTATAATTATTTAAACTAACTGAATTGCAAAGTAGTTATGTGACATAAATTAAAAAACTATATAATGTAAGATGGTGAGTTGTGTAAGTGACAGTATCAATTTAAATATTAAATAATAATAATTTTAAAAAGATATTGAAAAATTAAAATAATTTCTGTTATTATTATTATTATTTAATTTTAAAAACGTGTTTTTTTTTTTACAAATACCTGTGTAGTACGGGTATTGTACTTGTTCTGCTTAATTTTTCCATGGAGTACCTTATAAGTTTTTCACATCTTTTTCTTTCTTTTATTTTTTTCTTTCTTTTATTTATTTATTTATTTATTTTTTATTATTATTATTATTATTATTATTATTATTATTATTATAATAATTTATTATTATTATTATTATTTGGTTTATTCCTCAACAAGCATTTTTTTTTTAATTCTCTCTCTCACTTTCCTTTAAAAAATATTTATACGTGTATATAAAGGAATATGAGAATAAATATTGGTTAAAGATTGGATTTTAATTGTTCAACGTATTTGATTACTTATTTTAGTTTTATCCATTTTCGATTAGTGGTATTCTGTCGGAGTTTCTAACTGTTAGATCATCGTCTAACTGTTGGGATAATTAATCTAACGGTTGTAAAAGTCCGACAGAATGATTCCGTAACGAGACCATAGCATCTCCTAGTAATATAATGCACAATGAATTGTAATACTTAAGGACATTACTCATTAGTCGCATATGTTGAAATTATCACATCATCACAACTACTCATTTGACACCAAACAAATCAAAGGAAGAGTAAATAAATAAAAAAATAACATCATCATATCCTCGCAAATGTATTTCGGTCAAACTCAATCGCTTTAAATTATCCTTATTTCTTTTATCATGGCAGAGTCTTGTCGTACTCGTACATGTAAATAATTATGAAGTAAATATACGAGCTTAATTTCTTGAGTGGTTTGATATATCGAATAAGAGGCGAAACACAAAATTAATTCAGAAAGGGCAAAAGACATGATATAATGAGTTCAGAACTGATATCGAACTGATAATATCTCGGTAATCGAAAATCGGTTACCGTTACACACAAGTCGATTCAGTTCGGTTTATTCTCTCATTGGTTTGGTTCAGTTCGATTTACGGTTTTCGGTCAAAAAATACTAGCCCTAGCCTGGGCAATAAACGAGAGTTGAAATCGTTTATATGAGTCAATTAAAATTGTAGAAGTTTGATAATTAATATACAAATTAATAGTAAAATAAAAGAAGTATTATTGTTAACTGACAATTGTAGACAAATTGTCCTGGTGAGGACGTTTGAACACAAAAAGTTAGGGAGTGCAAAAATGAATTTAAAAAAGGAGCAAATTAAAATTTGTAATATTAATAGTAAAATAAAAATTAAGAAATAATGCTGGCAATTATCACTACATGTAAATTCGTCCCTATATCGAATTTACCTTTTTTTTTAACCATTTTTAGCAAAATTCTGCATACTCATGATATCTTTTAACACCACTAAAATTAGAAAATTATATTTCAGAATCAGAATAATTACTTTAGTGAATGAATCAAGTGCATCATATTCCAAATTCGTGGCCATTCTTACATGCACCGGGTGTTTTTTTTTTTTTATAAAATAATATAGACTCCATAATCATGCATTATTATTGAATAAATTAATGTAAAATGGTTTATTTATAACAATAAGTCAAATATTTAGTTATGGACGTTCCTATTCTCACCAATTGCTTCTCTAAATAATATATGCCACAAAAAATAATTGTTCCATGTCCTCATCATACACGGCCTATGCACAGTATTTCACACTTTGAGTGAAGAGCACTTAACTTGTTTACAAACATATTGGTATTTTTTCTTTTCTTTTTTTTTTTTATTGAGAAGAGACAGAGAATATTATAGTACGAAATACACATAAATAAAACCCAAGAGCCAACTGACTCTAATAGAAAGAGACACCTACAACCAAGTGTTCTAAAGTCAAATCTACCACAACACACACACTAGAACAAACAAACAAAAGTTCCCAACATGAGAATACACAAAACACATTAATTCCCAACAGGAGAGAAAGAAAAAAAAACACTGCCTACACACAAACAATCCACCTAGAACACAAAAGAAAAAACACAACAACACCACCCTTCTCATAGCAGACAACCGCACCAAGACATCACATGGCAACGCCAATGAACATCCATCCATACGGACAGGGCTACGGCCTAGGAGCTCGAACCAAAAATTGCCAACTAAACGCCTAATTGGCCCAAAACACCAACGAACCCAACCAGCGCCCAGACGGAGCTCGCCGGCGATCTACCCCATCCAACACTAGAGAAGGAGAAGACACGGTAACTAGAAGCGGCGCCCTACATCCCAGATCCCTCAGACAGACGAGACCCAAGTCTGAAGACCCACACCACCAACACCCACGACAACCTAGCAAGATCATGCTTAGACCCCGAAATCCCGACCTCAGGCCAAACTCGCTGGCGCTCACCCCCGTCCAAATCAGAAATGGAAGAGACTCAGCGCTGGACACGAAACCCTACGCCTCTGCTCCCTCAGAAAGAGAGACTAGCTGCGACCCATCCCGGTGAAGCTCAAGAGGCTCGCCCAAGCTGCAAAAATACCATCGAATAACGACGGGCCTCCTAGTCGTCTTAGCAACCAATTAATCGGCGAAACCTTAGGCTGGAGTTGGACTTCGTCATTGCCGACGAAAACCCCTCCTGCAAAACGGCTATTCACCGAGCATTCAGCAGCGGGGCCCACTGACGCCCCGCCGAGAAACTCGGGGATATTCTACTAGGGAAGGTGCCAAATTTGACAAGAGAGATACGACGGCAATGGTTTGAGGTTGGGGTTTTTTCGGCAAAGAGAAATATTGTTGTTAATATCTTATAAGATTTTATTTATTTAAATAGGTATTTGATTGATTTTATTTTTATTAATAATGGTTAATGTTGAAAAAGTATATGATTAGTTAGTGGATTTTAAAATTTTATCGTAAGAGTAGTTAAAAGAAAACAATTAAAATTGATTTGATATAAAATATGAGATAGATAATTGGAAGCGATATGTAGTTAAAATAATGTGAGTAAATGAATAATGAGCTGAACATGATATGATGTGTAAGGATAATTGATTGATATTTTTTAATTATATTATAGTAGTGAGGATAGTAAAGTTGAGTGAAAATTGATCACTTGGATTGATTTCTTTTTCTTTTTTTTTTAGTATATTTGTAAACTAACACGCTCTTAATCGATATGTGGTCGGGCCAACTAGACTTACTTTTGTGATAAAAATGCTAAAATATTATACTTTTTTTATGTTCATTTTTTTGAATATGACATTGCAATTTAAAAGTATATTTATTTATTGAAAATGTATGATGTCAAACCATTAGGCTCGTCTAAGAATAGACTTATTACATCATGAGTTGTATATCAATATTCTTTACATATCAAATATATAATGCATCAATCCAGCTCTTGTATTCACGATAGATACGTGCTAATATGTCTGTTAGGTCATGTGGCTAGAGATTAACATTCACCATGTAGTAGGGCTGAACATGGGACTCGAAGAATCAAACCGTTCCGAATCCGAACTTAAATCACTACGAATCGAAAAGTATTGTTGATTGTCTGACTTTCTCCAAACCGAACTGAACTGAAAAAATAATTGGTTCGGTTCTAGAGATTTTACAAATATCCGTACCGAGAATCGAACCAAACCGACATGTCCCATACCGTACTGAACTGAGTAACCGGAATTAAGAACTGAATTATAAAAATAGATGTGTGTTGTTAATATATTTTATATCAACTTTGATCCTATATTGAGAATTTTTAAAATGCAAATAAATATAGTAATAACAATTAAGCTTCACTTAAATTTATACTTAGTAATACTTGATCTACAATTCAATTTTTCATGTTTAAAAACAAAATATATTTAAAATAGAATAAAAAGGTTAAGGAAATTATTTAAAAAAACAATATTTAAACTTTACTTAAATTTGTTGATACTTAGTCTTATTCTATCTTATAATTAAAATGATATGGAAGGTTAAATAAATATTACTTTAATAAAACACTATATTATATTTTCTTGAATTTTAAATTTTCAATGTTAGTTGCACAAATTTAGTCTAAACAAAAATTTAGAGTTACTTCTAGAGTTGATTTAAAAATAAAATCTTTGGTATGATAAACTATTGATGAATGTTGGATATAAAATAAAAAATAATAAACATATAAAAAATAAAATGTAAATAGGTGGCCATTTAAAAAGATTTTAAAAATAAATTAGAAATTTTCAAATATCCGAACCGAACCGAACCAATCCGTTCCGATCAGGGGCGTAGCTACGTTAGGCCTTAGGTGGGCTACAGCCTTACCTAAAAAAACAAGCAAATAATGTATTAGTATGTTTATATCTTCATTTTGTTTTCGATTTAGACCAATTAAAAATGAGAAATTTGCACTCCTTACTTCAAGTTATGATTTTATTACATCTATATATTCTTTATATTCTTATTTATAAAATTACTTAAACAATCTAAAAATATTTCAATTATACCCGACATATAAGATGGTAACTGTAATTACCTTTTTTGTGGCTTATTAAATGCTAATAAAATTCTTAATTAAAATTAAACATGCACTTTGGCCCCGTTTGGAAGATAGCGGATTGAAGATAAATTAGCGGATTAGACTTAATTGAGAGGTTTGACCCGTCAAATCCGCTATTGAGTCTGTTTGGTAAATAATTTAGGCTAAAGGACACACAAACTAGAGTAAGTTATATGAATACCTTAAATACGAGATAAAAACTTTTATCACATGAAAGAACTATTCATTAAATTTCTTCATCAAAAAACGTAAACCGCATAAAATGAAAACAAAAATGCAACTGCAATTCACTATGATATTTGGCGAAAGTACACGTATGTTTTCTGCTTCTTAAACTAATTCCCAAATGATGCGATATTTAAACAAATCTCACAACAAGGAATAATTTACTTTTATATTCCAATATAGATTTTTTCTTTCCTTTTATTAAATTGTGAACTCTTCTTACGTCTGCTCCTTTCCTTTAGCTGGCACAGGTGTTCAAACTTTTCTCATCTAGTTTACTATGTCTAACCTTTTGCTTTACTTTATTTATTTAGAAAAATAATATTATTAAATAAAAAAATACTTGTATACCTCAAATTAACTATCATTAATAGAATAAATTAAGAAAAACTAATTTTAAAAACCAAATAAAATATCAATAATCTCACTTAATAGTCTTTCTTCAATCCCATCATGTCACTCATTTCACCAAACAAAAAGCACATAACTAATAGCTCACACAGCCACTTCTAAAATGAATAAAAATAAACCATTCATAAACAGTAAATAAGCAAACTACTGATATCATTTGAAACATGTTTACTACTGATATCATTTGAAACATGTTCCATTATAAAAATATGCGTACAATAAACTAGTCATAAACCATAAGTAAATTGAAATAAATTACTCACAAACCAAAAATAAACTGAGAAACATTATTATAAAC